AGAAAAGTGATGACTACATGTTATGAAAAGTTGAATAATGCTGACAGAGGGAGGAGTTATTTTTATTTTTCTGATTCAGAAAGCATTTTTTTTCCAGCAAAGAAAAAGAAAGGCTGTATTAATCAGCACAGTAACATTTGGCAAGTTCCATTTTAAAAAATCCCAACCATCAATAGAGATGAAATGGCAAAAATATGAGATATTGATTTATAAAGTAGAAGTGGTAAAGGTGATACATCCCAGAAGGCTTTTCTGAGCACTGTTAGTCTTCTACTGTGTCCTGAAATTCTTCAGACCAGCTCACACTGAAAAACACCCAGTTTTTTTAACCACAGTTAAGAAAAAGGAGTGTAGGCCACAGGATTCATTTCTTGTCTGAACAAATTCCCTTTCTTCATTGATTGGACACTCATTGCTCATTGTACCTATAGCTAATCATGTTGCCTATTTAAGCAGGCTTTCCAATGAATTAATCCTGGTTACACAGGGAATTAAAGTCAATCTTCATCAAAATGTTATTCACTGTTGCCAACATATATCCTTTTTAAGAAGAGCAAGATTCATGGGGGCTCACAAAACTGTTTTGTAATCCATTAGATATCACCCTCCAAATATATGGGTAGGTTCAGTGGTTCTTAACCTTTGTTACTCGGATGCTTTTGAACTGCAACTCCCAGAAACCCCAGTCAGGACAGCTGGTGGTGAAGGCTTCTGGGAGTTTCAGTCCAAAACTCCTGAGTAACCCAAGGTTAAGAACCAGTGGGTTAAATGAATTAGCACTCCTGGAAACCTCCAAGAACAGCAGTTCTTTAGAGAAAGATGTTTCCTGACAGTTTGTTCTATCAGAACATTTACTTTTTTTCAAACTAGAAGTGGCCTTTAGTCCCATCCCATTTTGCATGCTGCCCCTGGAACTTGCTCAGTCCTGCCTTAAGTTGAGAGGAACAGGAACATGTGAGCCCTTGGTTGCTTTCCTAAGTTGTGGTTGTCAGAACTAAACGCTTCTGCTTACATTAACCCTTTGTGTTGAACAACTAAGAGTGGTTTTATCTCAACAGTGATAATCATTAGGCATTTAGCAAGCTATTTCCCTTATAAAGAGAATACATGGTTACGTTCAATCATACATCCTCTTCCCTTGTCTTCTCAGCAGAAATGAGACTTAAAGATATTACAGAGTTTTCCATTCAAACACCACAATATCATTGCTCAGGTTATTCTTTATTTTTGTCTAATGATTGGTCAGTTCCTGGAGAAATTGAGTTTATCTTGAATGGAGTTTTCTGGTGGAACAGAAGCCTTGATCAGGCCACAAAATACAACAGACTAGCGTGAGATGTACACTATCTGAAGTCCTTCGACATTTTGCAGAAGATACGTGGTGCTGTGTTAACAGATGGGAAATAAGCAAATCTTTGGTTTCAGAAGCAACAGTAATGGAGTGAAGCTGTGGTCTTTCCAAGACCACGGATAGAAGATTGAAGCAAGGTCAATAAAGAGTACCTAAGGCACCTTATGAAAAGATGATGGTCATCTTTGCTACACTCCTAAAGACCCCCAGATAACACAATGTAGTACTAAATGTGCACATTTAGGAATGTGAAACTTAAGTATGGAAAGACTAAATCTTAACATTTCAAATAGCAAAAGAAAAGCTGGCTTAATGTGACATAGGCAACATGAAATAGATTCATGGTTGCAAGGAGAAACTAGAACAAGAAACTAATATTTTTTCCTGCTGCCCCCCCCCTTCTCAAATACTTCATTTTGTAGTTTGTGTATTGCAAGCAAGCAACAGGTGCTAAAAGCCAGGGAATGAAAGACAATTCAGCTCTTTATTTTCCCATCTGTCTAGCTTGAACAAAAGGCAGCGAGGACAGAAGAATTTGAATTGTGCCTGTTATAAACATTAAGGGAATATTTGTCTCAGAATAGCAGAAGCATCGCAAGGATGGTGCATTCTCACAGTGTACAAAATAGCAGAGCTAGACTCTACTGGCTCTAGAGCTACCATCATTCTGCTTCCTTATTCAATCTGCAGCTTTAAATTCACATTTTGTGCAGTGATGTTTTGGGATTGAGCTTGGAAACGCTCTTTCTGAATCACAAATCTGGGAGATTCTGAAAATTATAATACAAAAAGTAACATTTCCAGGCTTTAGCTCTGAGCCAGCATGTTTCAAGCCTGGAGCCGACTCTTTTCCTTTTCCACAAGAATCAGTGTTACTTTTTGCCAGAATATTCATTAATTGACTAGCAATAAAGTTTTCCATCTTGCCTGAGTTCTCAAAATAATTCTAGCCCCATAAACGGATTGGGATGTCTGAGCATTGTCTGCATTCTTAAAATTCTAAGAGGACACTGCATTATATGCTACATTCTAATACCATGCTGCTTGGGACGTTCTGGGAATTGTAATCCAAAAAAATTAACATTTCCTATCTCTGTTCAGAATAGATACAACTCACTGTTAAACTGTATCAAATATCTGATAACACCTCATCTTAAAATGCATACAATATAAGGTAACACACTGGTGAAATCCAGAATAGAATGATGGCAAAATGAGAAGGCCACAGTATGCCATACAGAATTGTTCCTTCATCCCAGCCTTGGGTGGTGCATGCTTCTAATCTTAGATCCAGGATAATTTGTATGTAACTGTATAAAGCAGTATACTAGTACAGAATTGGTTATTTGTCACATAATTAACATTTTGAATAAGAACCGTTCTTTCTAAAATTATAATTCTTAATTATTGTAGTTATGGAGAACTGACAGCCAAGCAGTGTTCCACCACATTTTGCATTTATAAGATCCACATTTTTTTACAAAAACAAGCTAAACAGAAATAAAATGAGGGTGTTAGAATAAGTTGGTGATGTTAAATGTTTTTAATTTTCCTGCTCTGCATTTGTGCAACTATTTAAAGCTTTGATTAAATTTGATCTTCAAGGAGATCAAAAGTTAAGTATGATTAGTTTATTCCACAAATTTAGTGTTCTTAAAAATATTCATTCAAATATTTCAGATTTAGTATTTACTTGGTTCTTAATACTGTGTCAAATCTGAATCTTCTTTGAAGAAAACACTTAAACTACATCATTTTCATGAATGTCAAAATGGCAGAAAGTGCTAACATTTGTCAAGAGATTGCCTCCCCCCCCAGCATCATGCCCAATTTGTTCCTTAGTTGTGGGGAACTGCACTATGCCAACAAGCCTGCCCACCTCATTGCACTGGTATGATATCACTGTGCTGAGCAGCAAAGCGAAGGTTCTACAGTGGAGCTATGTAAAATTACTGTGTCTGGTAAACTATGAACCACTGCAACAGATGAATGGAATTATTTCCATTGAAATTTTGACATTTCATTTTCCTTATGCAGTCACCCACACAGCCTCCAGAGATTCAGTGGGCTAACAGTATTGGCAGCAGGGACAGAGAAGTCCAACCACACAATTGGGTCATTCAGAGTTTACATTACTCCTTTAACTCCTTCCATTTCAAGCAGCTCACCTATCCTTTGTTGCCCGTCTAAATGATATCACAATATAGCTTGTGTTGTCTCACAATTCCAAGAAGGAAGAGCTGTACTCAGAATATCTCTCTGGTCAATTAAAAAAAATCTATGATTTGCCTAGTCGTTGGAACCTAAAGCAACATTCTCCTAATGCAACACCATCATTTTTACCAGTGTTGCAACTTTTAGTGGATTAATCCATTAAAAAAGTCAAACTTTGGAGACTAAAAGTTTGCTGAAGTGGTATCACGTTGGTTTCTACCATGTTAATTTTAAAAATATATAGAAACTAGACAGCAGATCTCCCCATAGAACAGCCCAACCCCCAATACACATTCTGAAGTAGGTACCTCCACTAAGATGGTGTCTGCTGTGACATGCATGTATCGGCTGAACACAAGGAGGAGTTTGCCTTTACACAAACATCATTTTTTTCAGTTGCAGATGTAGGCAGACATAACTGATCAGGTCAGACTGCTTAAACTAGATGACGACCCTTGTTTAGGCTCATTATGTAACTATCGTACCCTGCTCTACTTACAAACTCCCTAACCACATCTGGATGGTCACTGTTGGAGACATAATACTGGAATTAGAATGGAACCCTTCATCTGATTCATCATAGTTCTTAGATTCAGGTTTTTAAAAGCAATCAATGATGTGTGCAATTTGTGCATGGCTGACTGGACGATTCAGCAAAGTGCTGTCCAAAAAATGACTCGTCCTAGACTTTGCATCTCCACAGGGTCATTCCTGAGGCATTCCCAGATCTTTCACTGGAAAAAAGCATGGGAGGTGGCTAGAACTCTCCCTCTCTGGGAGACAGGCATCTTCTCTACTGAAAGCTGGGAGAGTCTAGAAGCTGTAGTCCAAAATAACTGCCTTTTCCAAGCTCTGTCGTAGCGTTCATGATGCAGCTCCTATTGTTGTACCATCAACTGTACCTTGTTCTTCTTTGTGGTTCATACGTTCCCTTTGTATGTTTCAGTCAATTGTGCTTTGCTGTTAAAGTTTCTGCCATAGCAATTCAGCAATTAAAGAATGTCATTGGGGGGTTAAGGCAGGGGGAAGCAATAGAGTGTGTTTTAATATCCAGTACTTAAAAAATAGCAGGCTAATTGCAAAGTTAGAACACAAATTGCTCTGGCCATAAACAAAAACTGGCACATAAAAGGCTCCACAATCTTCCCATCTGGTTCTCATAATTTTCAAGTGGCATCTGCAACAGCCAGAAGCCTACTTATATTTTTAATGTACATGAGTTTAAAAACCATACATTAGCGTTTGTAAGAAATGCATGGTGACCAGTTAAAACTTCTGGTATTCTCCAAGAAAGCAAATCAGGCTCTGCAGTATATCCAGTACCACATTTTGGGATTCTTATTTTGATCACATAGTCAAGGAGACAGATGGAAGTGAAGTATTTCTTTCTCTTCCTAACAACTTATCTTCCTAATGTAACATTCTCTTTTTCCAGGTGTGGCCCATATCCTGTTCACTTGGAGCCACCTTTGGTTACGTGTCTGGCCTTCTCATTGCACCTTTGTGGATATACTGGAACAGGAAGCAGCTTACATACAAAAGCAGATAACTGGCACTAAGAGAGAAAGTGTGTAGTTGTGCTGATTCTTTAAAGACTGTGCAGAGACAGTGGTCAAAGCAGAAGGCTATCCAAACAGCTTCAAAGCATTGTTGGGCCAGCATTCCTCTTCTGGAAGCCCAGTGTGCATGCTACAGCCACATGATGATACATCTGTCACTTGCCCTAAATTATGTTACCCCTGAGAGATTATGCTTTCCTTCCAGTCTGAATAAAGTATTTGTAACAGATGGTGCCTGCTCTTTCATACATTTTCCCCCTTCTCTCTCTGGGTTTCACCAAATGCCAATTCTGGAAAAAACAGCTTCCCAATTGATCTATGATTTGTTAGCAGGGCGTTGTTGTCATTTTTAAAAAGTGTATATTTGCATGATACCAGGAGATTCACAGTATGAATGGCCACTGTCCCAGGGGGTCTCACGTGATCAGGCAGCAATTAATGCATCTTGAGCCTATTCTTTTTTTCACTGTGTGTTTCTTTGGAGTTAAAATGGCTATAATAGCTTCATCAAAAACAGTCTTCAGTCCTTTCTGAGTTAAAGCCGAGCACTCCACATAACAGTAGGCTCCTATCTGTCAAGAAAACAAATGTGTTTAATAGCTACATAGACTATGGACAGTTCTCCCCAAACACTATTTGTAAGCCCAGAAGACTTTTGTTTTTATAGAAACATAAAGTTGTGTTTGTTTCTGTCATCTTTGCCCTGTAGAAAAAAACATTAAAGTGCTTGATCCTCCAAGAAAACAAGTTACTCCTTTACTTTGTTTTTCCAGTAACAAATTTAGAATGCTTTTTAGGTTCTGTTTCTGAAGGAAACATATTAAATGCTAGGGAGTTTTAGTGTATTTTAATTTGTGTTCATAGGACATTTTAGGAAAGCAATGTGGGTGAAAGAAATTATATGCAGGGGTTTTTTTAGGATTAATCCAGCCTTTGTCTACAATAGTACAATGCAAACATGCTGGACTACAGTTTCCATCATCTCAGCCAGCAGCAGGTTGTGATGAGGGGAGTTGGAGAGCACCCTGCTGGGGAAAGCTAAAATTCTCAGGCTGAAATATCTGTCAACACAAGTAGCTGTGTTAGCTCAGAATCCCTTGCTTGATATTTTGAAACACTATTAAATTGGAAATGCTGTAAAGGTATAGTCATTCATTTTAATTATCTGTAACTACTTTGTTACTGCATTTAATAATCTTAATTCCAATGAGTTATTTGTTAATTATTTTTAAAAGTATTAAATGAAATTAGCAGTGTTTAACATTATGTTTCATTCATGAGCCAAAAGGGCATCATTAATCACTAAGATTACATTGTGCTTAATGCTGCCCTCAAAAACACCCATCTCCATATGATACTCCGGCTTTTTTCAAAAAGGCCTCCACTAATGAAACCTAAAAGAGACATTTTTTTCAATTTAAGAATGCACAGTCCATTGGAACAAAGTGCAAATGTAACATTATTTGAGCAGCAGAATGATGGTACTCTGATGTAACAAAGTTACTCTGCATATCAAGTTCTGCAAAAACTGGTTCTGAAACCTCATGGCAGCAATCAGCTGAAATCAGCTGCCAGGTTCATGCCCATGATATTATGAACCTACTACTCATCTGCAGATATTGCTGTTAATGTTAACTGACTTTAATTTAAAATAAGATACAAATAGGATTGTTTAAATGAAACAAACATGTAGCATCTTCAAACAATACACTGGGGAAGAAATACTGGTGGCAGAATCAAGATTTATGTATATGTCATCTATACTGTGAAGGCCATACTTGTCCTGAAGGGAAAAAAATCAAATGCAGTTCCTGTTCTAATGTATGTACCAAACATTATTTTGCTTCCTTTATGCTTTGTTCATAGTTTCTTCTCCCTTGCCTATTCGCACCTGTATTTCCCCATTTTCTAATTCTGTGTTTCTCTGGTGCTCACAGCACTAGTACTACTCAACAATTAAATTTATTCCATTGCACTCTGTAAATTCTAAAGATTTTTTTAAGGCTGTGCAACAAAGAAGAGCAGTGATTGGGCTGAACTGTGTAATTGCAAAAAGGAGGGCCTGTCCAGTGGTTGCACCCCATCTGTGGAACACCCTTCCTAGAGATGCTCACCTGGTTGCTTACATGGGTTCCAGGTGAAGATTGTTATTCTCCCAGACATTTTTTAAAAGTATTTTCAGTGATTTTAGATGATAACACACATCTACTTTACTGCCAGTTTACTTGCATGTTATATGTGGTAGTAGTTTAGTGCTTGCTTTATTTTATTTTGATTTTATCATGTGCTGTATCAATGGAATGACAGGGATACAAACAAATACCAAGTTAATGAACAGGTCTGTGTCACACTTATATGCTTCTCTTCTTCGAAAGAGGAAAAGCAACATCCATGGAATAATGACATCCATTTCTTCACAAACTGTCCTAGGAAATCAGTAGAGCAAAAATGAGTATGCACAAAATGGCACCTGTAGGTCCTGGTAGATGAAGGATGTTTAATGAAGGGAGATTAATGTCAAGGGTCTGGCTTCTTCATCTGGCTTTCCTCAGTCCACTGCTTTGAAGCCAGATGCATCCTACTGCCTGACAACTGGAGTACTTGTAGTAAGAGATTAAATATTATCAACTGTGAATGCAGGTGAAGCTTAACATAGATCAGCAGTCATTACCAGGAAAATGACCGGGGGGGGGGAATCAATACAGGTGAGAACTAGCAGGAGATAGGGCAACCAAGCAGTATTTGCCAGTTTATTCTGGGGAACTCTGTGTTGCCTTTGTGGAATGGACATCTTTTGTCATCTAGGTTTGCACAGTCTGCAGCAGACGCTGGAGGCAAAATGTTGACCCTACTCCCCCACCCCAGACCTGGCAAACTCCTGCAGTATATTAACAACTTAATGTGAGGAGGGGAGCACACTAGTCTTTCCCCTTCCACTGTGGGTTTCAACATGCAGAGAGCAATGACCTTAAGAGGACATATTCTTCTTATCTGGAAAGCATCCACATGTGGAAAGCCAAAAGGCTCTCCATGAAAGAGTGAGTTTACAGTGTAGCATAGCACTTGCCAAAAGGCTTTCCCTGGGCTTTACTGTCTCTCCTATTTAGTTTTTAGTGTTCAGGATTAGGTTGACTATTTCTATCTCATATTCTTTAGTGCAGTGAGTTGGAATACCCGGCTGCTGAGTCAGGCACTTGGAGTTCACATTCCCACTGTGTGTCCTGCAAAAGAGGCCAGCTGAGACCACTTGGAACATGTGTGGCTAATGAGTTTCCATGTCCTGTGACCTTTCTGGGCTTGAGCAAACTGCACAGTCCCAGAAGAAAGGAATGTTAAAGCATTCCTGAGTCCTTTTTATACTTAGAAAATCCTAGGACAGCCTCCATGAGAATGAACTTGATCGGACACAATTTTTTTTATCAATACTGTACAGACCTATATTTTTATATCAGTATCAGTAAATTATGAACCTACTGATATAGTGGTTACTTATAATTGTTCTTATTTCTGTTTTTGTATTGTCATGCTTTTGCTGTTAATCTGTTGTGCTGGGAGCTGCTTTGAGCACAATAGCATAGAAAAACAGCATGTGAATAAAAACAATGAGAGCCACATTTTAAGGGAAAATGGAAGAGAAGTGCCATGTTTTGTGAGATGTACAAGACGTAAAGTAACTTAAGGAAAAGAAAGGTGGAACTGAAATGATGAAAATATGTATAATTAATGTCAGTGACAAGGTGACCTAAAGCTCTCTATGTATTGCTGGGTTGCTGCTCTTTCCATCAGCTTTACACAGTACAACCAGTGGTAAAGGGGGGGGGAGGGAATTGCAGGAGGCACCCAAATGTAACACCACAGGAGATAGCCACAAAATAGAGTTGGTGCCTTGTTTCTTAAAGAGCCAAAACACTTTTCAAAATTTTCATTCAGTTCTGCCTCACAATGAAATGAATTAGGTCACAGGGCAGCTGTCACTCACATGGTAAAGGACATCTGTAAAAACTTGGTATCAGTAGATGATAGAGTGAGATCTCTGCCACTAGATCTCAGTGGCTTTGAGCCAATAGGCATATACCGTGTTACCACAAAAATAAGACAGGGTCTTATATTAATTATATAAATGTCAAGGGGAACAAAACGCATTAGGGCTTATTTTCAGGGGATGTTTTGTTTTTTTCATGTACAACAATCTACATTTATTCAAATACGTCATGTCATCTGGTTGCTGCACAATGGTGGAGAGCGGGGTTTTACTTAACTGGGGCTTATGTTTGGGGTAGGGCTTGTATATTACGAGCATCATGAAAAATCATACTAGGGCTTATTTTCAGGTTAGGTTTTATTTTTGGGGAAACAGGGTACTGATGACTCTCCACTGGCTAGCTATAAAGCAGCTACTTACTGCCAAGTTATGCTGTTGAAAAAAAAAGGCTCTGGGGCTCCACTGCTCTGCTGTAGTCCAAGATGAATTAGTTCTCTGATCAGTTCTGGTATCTGGATTGTTGGCCAATTTTTAGTTCCAAGCATCTTTTGCACTGAACTCTAGATGGCAGCTCCAGGGAGTTTAGTTTTAAAAAGTAAGTACTTCCTACAAGTCTGACAGCTGCCCACCCCTGAAATAATGCATAAAATCTACTATGCTATTTTACAAATGGTTACTTCCAGTACATGACTTTGAAATATCAAAATGCAATGCAAATTCCTCGCACATTAATATGAGCCAATATTTTACGTAGTGCAAATATGGGCAACCGAAGCCATCCAGAGGTCACTGAACATAAAGCAACTCACAGCAACACTAGCATGTGTAACCAGTGGTGGGAGTGAGTCACAATGCAACAATATCTGGAGGGCTAAAGCTGCCCATCACTCATGCAGTGTTTTTGAGTGCATTGTGTAAACTCTGTCTTTGTGAGATTACAGATTCTTCTTAGTGGTAGCACCCAAATGGTAACACTTCCTCCCAGTGACACCTGATGATAGGATTAAGGCTACTCTTTTGTGTAGCAGGCAACTATCCCTAACTTTTTTCAGATCAGTTTCTTTTCTAATGGTGTTGTGAATATGCTCTTATTAATGTTTTTCAGATGTTTTGTTTTTATACTGATGTTAAGCAAAATATAAAAGGGACGTAGTGGTGCTGTGGGTTTAACTGCAGTAGCTTCTGTGCTGCAAGGTCAGAAGACCAGCAGTCGTAAGATCGAATCCATGCGACGGAGTGAGCTCCCGTCACTTGTCCCAGCTCCTGCCAACCTAGCAGTTTGAAAGTATGGAAATGCAAGTAGATGAATAGGTACCACTACGGTGGGAAGGTAACAGCGTTTCGTGTCTAAGTCGCGCTGGCTGTGGGACCACGGAAGTTGTCTACAGACAAACGCTGTCTCTATGGCTTGGAAATGGGGATGAGCACTGCCCCCTAGAGTCGGACACAACTGGACTAAATGTCAAGGGGAACCTTTACCTTTAGCAAAATATAAGTGGTAACTGTTTAAATAAATATAAGCAAAAATACACTACTACATGTATTTTTTTCAAGACACAAATGAGGAAGTAAAGGGAGGCTATAGTATACAATATCACAGTTGGTTCAAAGCAAGCTACCAGAGGGTCTCTGAAAACCCAGCTTACCTCTTTTGCTAACTTCTGTCCCTGCTCCATAGATACTGATTTCTCTTTCATGTCATTCAGCCTTGCTAAAGTCTTAGGGTCATCCCGAAGATCAATCTGTTAGGGAAATCACAATAATAAGATGCTGCATGTGTTCTTATGCCCATTTATACTAAAAATCCATGTTACAGACTTCTTAAAAACATAGACAAGGTTGGATCTAAACCAAGGCAGTTGCGCACTATGTCTCACTGAAATAGACAGAACTTGTTACTCGTTACAAATGTTTCACAGTGAATTCAACACAACTGATGTGCAATAAACTCTGTTTTGACCCAAACATAATCAGTTTGTTTTATTGTGAAAATCTGGTCATCAGTAAGGCTCTTCATTAACTTGGAACAGCTATGTTCTGAATGGAGCAAAAAATATTCTCTTCTGCTAATGGAACTAGAATGCATGAAGAATGTGTGTCCATAGAATGCACGTTGCCATGGCCTGTACTACTGTATTCAGAAATTTTTGTTCAAAGCTGCAAATATTTTATTTCTAAGAAACAGAAAACTGAGATTACTTATAATTACAATGTAATTAATTATAAGTATAATTACAATGTAACAAACTAACTGGCTTGGAACTATATACATATTACATTTTAACAGATGAAGATATCCTCAAGGTGATAGAAAAGTAATAAGGATTTGAGCTTTGGAAAGTTAGTGGCTTTTGAAATTTACTCCAAGCTCCATGGTGGTCACAGTGGTTTGGAAACTCTAGGAGTTGCAGTCTCTCTCTCTCCCTCTGTGTGTGTGTGTGTGTGTGTAGAGTCCCTACACACACACACACACACACACACACAAAACACACACACACACACACACACACACACACACAGAGAGAGAGAGAGCGAGAGAGAGAGAGAGAGCGATGCCTCGCAAGACGAATGCCTCGTGCAACAAAAAACTCACAAGACAAAAGCGTTTTGTGATTTTTTTGGTGACTCGCAAGACAAATTTTTCTATGGCCGTGCTTCACAAGACAAATAGGAACACAATGATTAAATTTCAATGCATTCCAACGCACTTCGCAAAACAAAATTTTCGCAATACAAAATGACTCACGGAACGAATTATTTTCGTCTTGCAAGGCATCACTGTACATGCATATACGTACATACATATACATATATACACACACATATGTATATATGTGTGGATATTTGTGTATATATACAGATATATACACACACATGTACATTTATGTATATATGTATGTGTGTGTACGCATACTGACAGGGATAGTTCAGTGGTTTAGGTATCTGGCTGGAGAATCAGAGGTGGAAGTTCGATTCCTTACTACGACAGACAGCCTGTGTAGCAACAGGCAAACTGAACAGTCCCAGGATATCCCCAGAAGGGAATGGTAAATCACTTCTGAGTATGTATTCTGTACCTGGAAAAGGTAGCCATAAGAAACAATCATCTTGACAGCACATTATTCAAAAACACCAGTCAATCAAAAATAAAAACACTGACTGGTATTATAGATAGATAAAACCTTTATTGGCATAAGCAGAAATTGGACGTAGGCACAGTGGTTTGTTAGGTAACTACATATATAGGCATCAATAGGGCAGAAAAGTGTTAGACATGCTTAAAGGAACAACAGTTCATCTCCTAACAACAGTACCAAGGAAGTCTGTAACTCTACAATAGCAGTCATCTTGGCCATCAGCATACAGTGAACTTTATCCAGATCTAATCTCCCTTCCAGCTTTAATAAAATTGGGGCTATCAACCTTGATCAGAAGGCCCCTGTTCACATGGGCAATGCCTTTCAGAATAGGGAACTACATTAAATCTTCCATATAATATAGCAGTAGGCATGACATTATATCTGGCCAAAGAAAAAGTCCTATGTTTTGGGGCGCATTTGAGCAAGGAAAGGTAGTCATCAGGTTTACCCATTTTAGGAGGAATATGGAAAAACAATGGTGAACAGAATTTCTTGGCAGCACTACAAAAGTCTTGGAATTCAATATCCAAAATTCTTCTTTTAATAATTTGTAAAGCTAGCTCTTGACTTAGAGCTCTAAGGTAGTCACTATCTATACCAAATGATTTCAAATTTTTCAAGAGGACTGTTGACACAAAAGGCGGTACAGAGTCCCACAGAAGTTGGTATAATAAACTGTCCATGTTTGAAATGTAATAGACTTTGAGATCAGGCATCTTTCAGTCTCGAGAGACTATGGTAACATGCTCTGTATGGAGGACTTTGAATGGCATCTAGTGTGGCTGAGAAGGCCAATTCGAGAGTGACAATCCCTTCCACACTGAAGACAAATACAATCTGTCCCCTGTCCAGCTCCCTGATTTTGCTGGTTTCAGGACTGCCTCTTTGCCTCGGTTTGCTGGACAAGTTTCTCTTCAAAATTGGAGAGGCCATGCTGCACTGCCTGCCTCCAGGCTGAATGTTCAGATGTCAGGGTTTCCCATCTGTTGAGGTCCATTCCCAAGGCCTTCAGATCCCAGTTGCAGATATCCTTGTATCGCAGCTGTGGTCTCCCTCTGGGGCGATTTCCGTGCACTAATTCTCCATACAGGAAATATTTGGGGATCTGACCATCCGCTATTCTCATGACATGCCCAAGCTAACGTACATGTCAGTGTTTTAGTAATGTATACATGCTAAAAACTCCAGTTTGTTCTAGGATTTGGAACTTTGTCTTGCCAGGTGATATCAAAAATGTGTCGGAGACAATGCATATGGAAGGTGTTCAGTTCCCTCTCCTGCCGTGCACGAAGAGTCCAGGAGTCACTGCAGTACAGTGCAGTACGCCAATGTGTTTATCCAACTCGACATCTAGGGAGAGAGTGTCAGAGATCATTGAGCCAAGGTACACAAAGTCATGAACAACCTCCAATTCTTGTGTGGAGATGGTAATAGAGGGAAGTATTTTAAAAAGGCTGTCCCTGCTAACCAAATCAAAGGGCTTTGTGAGATCTGTGAAGGACACAAAGAGTGGTTGTTGTTGTTCCCTACATTTCTCCTGCAACTGTCAGAGGGAGAATACCATGTCAGTGGTGAATCTATTAGCTCGAAATCCACACTGTGATTCTGGATAGACTCCGTCTGCAAGCACCTGGAGTCTCTTCAGCACAACATGGGCAAGTAGCTTCCCTACAGCACTGAAATGAGAGATGCCACAGTAGTTATTGCAGTCGCCCCTGTCTCCTTTGTACTTACACATTGTGACAATATTTGCATCCTTCATGTCCTGTGGTACTTCATCTTCCCTCCAGCAAAGACAAAAGATTTCATACAGCTTGGTGGTGATGATGTCTTTACAGCACTTCAGCAGGCATGTTATCCTTCCCAGGTGCCTTGCCAGAAAGGAGGGAATCCAAGGCCGCTTTTATTTCTGCTAAAATTGGTTCACTGCCCAACTCCTCCAAGAGAGGCAGGCACTCAATGTTATTTAGTGCCTCTTCGGTTACTACATTATCTATGGCATATAGCTCAGAGTAGTGCTGCACCCAGCGGTCCATCTGCTGTGCTCGATCCTGGATGACCACGCCTGTAGAAGACTTCAAGGGAGATGATTTCTTCTGTATTGGACCTAAAACCTGCTTGATACCGTCATACATTCCCTTGATGTTACCTGTGTGCGCTGCTATCTGTATCTGAGAGCAGAGCTGAATAATCGTTGGAACATCTCCTAACAGCCTGTTGGACTTTGCTACAAGCAAGTCGAAGAGCCTGCAAGTTGTACTCACTACGACAGGCTTTGTATGCTGCTAGAGCTGTCTCCTCTTATCCTTGATGGCTGACATCAACTCCTCTGCATGGGCTTCGAACCAGTCAGCCATCTTTT